GTGAGTGGGTGGGTGTGGGTATGGGTGTGGGTAGGTGTGGGTGTGGGGTGGGTGTGGGGTGGGTGTGGGGTGGGTGTGGAAGTGTGGGTGTGGGGTGGGTGTGGGAGTGTGGGTGTGAGTGTGAGTGTGGGTGGTTGTGGGTGTGACTCAACAGAAGACCCACACCCTTCGAGTCTATAAAGAATCTTCATAACTCAAAGTTTGATGTTCAAAGAAAAAGACAATAATTGAAGATGATCCCTTTCTATGCTGCTCTCAAACAATCGCTCTAACTAGACATCTAGAAGGATTGATTAGTATAAATCTTACCGTTGAAAAGGAAAAGCAGACAACCCTTGAATGACTCATCTATGCGAATCGTCCACTATCTTGAGAGTGAGGGTGATAGATCTATCTTCACACTCACCATTAAATTAATTCTTTGAATTTCATTGACCGCTCATCAGACTTAAAAGCTGGCTTATTAACAATCATATAGAAAGACGTACACTCCTCGCCTCTTGCTAATGGCAAAAACCACAGCCTCGCAGTTATTTCCCTTGAGAAGTTATTGAAAAAGCAATCACCCTTATTTTATTTTGAAGTGAATAACAAAAAGAGAAAAGCAATAAATTATGAAAAAATAAAAATAGAAGAAAAATGTTTTATGATGATAACAATAGGACTGAATTGGCATGGTCAATATGGATATACCATTTGTTTTCTAGAAATGAAACAATATTTAATATATATAGAAGAAAATAATCCTTAAATGATGATCTTAAAGAGAAAATGAACAAATAATGGAATAAAACATCAGAAAATATAAATGAAAAAATAATATTAACTTTTTCATTCACATTTTCTGAAAATTTTCATCCATTAGCTATATTCACTTCATTAATCACCACTTCAAAACTATTTATACTGACATCACCTACCTGATTTAATCAATAGTTCTATTTAAATATACTTCTCATTTTGAAATAATGGTTAATCGTTTGACAATATCATTACATATTATAGATCAAGTGAATATTCAGACAAAAATTTTGTTCAAAAATTTTACTCAGTTTCAAGAAAAAACATTGGCGTTGATAAATAATCAACGATCATCTAACAAATAAATCCTAGAATTAGAATTTTACTCAAATATGTTCTCACTTTGAAGCAATAACTTTGTAGTTAGTAGTGTGATCGAAGATTGCAAGACGAATGAACAGTCAAACAAATGTTTCAATCGAACATTTTATTCACTTCGAAGCAAAAAGTTGAAATCGATGATATGACTAAAGATCGTATGAGAAATGAATAATTCACATGAAACTTTTATTTAAATGTTCTATTCACTTCAAAACAAAAACTTTGGAGTTGATCATTTGATTAAAGATCAAATGGTAAATGAATAATCCAAAAACAGGTCGTACTCAAATATTCTATTCAATTCGAAGCATTGATTTTGGAATGGTAATATGATCAAGGATCACAGAGCGAATGAATACTAAAATGAAGATTTTCTTCAATTGTTTTTCTTACAGACAAGTAAATGTTGGACACTAATAATATGAGCGAAAATCACATAACAAACGAAGACTCAAGCAAAGATTTTATTAATATATTCTGCTCACCTCAAAGTTAACAATTTTCAGCCAATAATATTAACAACAATCATACGACAAATGAATAATAAAAAACAAATTTTTATTTAAATATATCATCCACTTCAAAGCAAACATTTTGTATTGATAATATGGTTGAAGATTACTCGCCATATGAATAAATACCAGAAAAGTCCTACTCAAATATCCTACTTACGTTGAAGCAACAGTTTTGAATTATAATATGATTGAAGATCACATGCTAAACAAATAACTTCAAGAAATATTCCATTCAAATCTTTTATTTCCATCAAAGTAAAAGTGTTGAAATAATGATATGAACAAAGTTCATCTTGCAAATGAATAATTCTAAGGAAAGTTTATTCAAATTATTTGCTCATATCAAAGCAAAAATATGGGTTTCATTAGAGAAAAAAAGGTCATACAGCGAATGAATAATCTAATTTACGGTTCTATTCAACTATTCTAGTCACATCAAATCACATTGAAGCAAAAGCTTGCAGTTGATAATATAAAAGAAGATTACATGTCGAATGATGGATTAAAACACTAGTACAACAAGTAGCACAAAGATCATATTCACATATTCGATTTTCTTCGAAACAATAGTTTAAAGTTGATCTTATGATTAAAGATTATGTAGCAGATCAATAAATCAAATTAATTTCAAAGTTTTATCCGAGTATTTTAGTCATTATTTTACGATGGATCACCACTCGATTGTTAAATACAATGTTGCGTGAATAATGAGTGTCTTCTACGTTTCTGTATGAATTTGCGGAGATTGGGTTGGAACATCGCATCATCACCATTGTATTCCATGGCTTGTTCGATCACCCTTGCGATGCATAATTGTAATACAATAGCCAACACTACGACGATGATAATTATTTTACTGCTCTTGTTCATTTTTCAACTGTTAGCGACGAAAGACGAATTGACTTGGTATAGTATTAAAAGAAAATATTAATCTGTATGATTATAAAGCTAAACTCCCTTTCTTATATATATACCTGTCGATCATCATTGTAGAAGAAATCAGAAAAAAAAGTTTGCGTCATTGGGGAAGGCGATTATCATGTCGATTTGTATGCGTCATACGATCATATCGGGGGTGAAACATGCTCGACTGATAAGGCAAAGACTATAGCAAAAATAGACATTTTCCCTATGAAATAAAGAATAGATGCAGTTTTCTACACCAACCTACTTTTCGCATCGTCATCAAGGAGAAAAAAAAATCGTTTGCATAATCATGCCATGATCAATACATTGAGTTATTTATAAAAGTACGATATTTTTCTTTCTATTTTCGTTGACGCATGAGCAAGAAGCAGATTGTTTGATGAAAGGCTTGTAATCACCTTGTGTCATGAGTCATGGATGATGTGACTGCATAATACATATTTTTTCTTATCGATGATAGGCTTTCGATGATGATGAAGAAGAAAGCAGAAAAAAGAAAAAACATACATGTCGGTGGTAAGTCATGCAGAAAACATCATCGAAATATCGATGATGTCTTTTTATAATACTTTTCTATTAGATTTCATAACTTTGATCTAAAAAAGTTAATACAAATTGAACTTGAACAATACTGTTAAAATCTATTGAAATTTATTTTAGCTTTCCAAAATGTTTGTCAATCAAATCATTCAAAAGGTAAAATAGATGTTAGAGTGGAAGATGAACGCTTCAATGTGATAGAAGCCGCAGACTTCTAATAATGCGGCTTCATAATATATAAACAATTTTTTGTTGATATCACTATAAATTTATGTCGTCGAACGGACTAAACATATCTTTCATAAGAGAGACAATTAAATTATCTCCTTGTCATTACTACTGACAGCTAGATCGTGATTTACATTTTAATCCCGTAAGGATTGGACTAACAGATTTTTTTTTGTTTAGGAAAAAGTCGAATATTTCAAGGTGGAAACAACTGATTCCGTAGCGTCAGAATCATTGGAATCAATGGAATCAGTTCTTTCCCCCTTGACTGATCCACTCAATTAACTTGAATGGGTGAGCTATTAGGTGCAAAACAAAGAAGCAGTAACATTTTGCTGATATATTCTAGTTGATACAATAGTTCAAGTATGCTGAAGACAATGAAGAAAAGTGTACGTTATCACCCATCATTCACCACGTACATATTTTGCAGTATTTGGTTGGAATTTCAATAGAATCATCAATCGGTAAGATATTCGAGAACATGCGTTATTATTGTCCTTCATATGTTGAATAGATTCGAAAATACGATCTCCGATCATTTTTATGGTCATATACATCGAGATGAATCCAACATGTTCTACGATGAGAATGATCATCAACGATCTGTTTCGACGGTAAGTACACTGCTATGACGCCCAAAACTTGCGTACATAACTAGTCTCTTTAATTGTTGGAAACTGTAGGCTTACATAGCACAGTCGTACAGTCATTATAACAGAACAATTATCCTAAATGAATATAACGCTCTAGATGCCTATCAACTAGACAACTTTTTTTCTGCTGATTGAGACAATTTCATCAAAAGGCTTGAAAATGATTGATGATTACAGTATATAGACACTATACAAAGCCGCACGATGATCCATATGCATGTGATTCGATTTCTCCATTTGTGTAATCGATATTCATTCGTTCATGAACTATTGCTTTCTACACATTGTTTGCATTTTATAATGCAATTAGTTTGACTTAAATTTCTTCATTTTCTCATGTTAATAATGATGCAGATATTACTATGGGTGTGAGAGAGAAGGGAAAAAAATACTTTTTTCTTTCATACTGTAGAGAAAAGATAATCGATCTTCTAAAACTGGATTCTATCGGTAGATATGGATTCATTCTCACTCACCTCATCGATTTAGTTCATGTAAAGTGGAAGAATTCGAAAGGTCAGACGACCTCATTGACAAATCTGAGTTGATCTTTTACCTTAGTTTCCATAAAAATGGCTATATTTACTCTCGTGGTACGTAATATAGAATATTGGTAATACTAATGTTTAATCCAGTAGAAACAATGATGAACAGTTTTGACAAATGTAAACATTGTTTAAGGTACATACTACACAAGGCCATTTATGTTTGGTTATAATTGTGTTAGAAACAAAAGAAGAGTCGAGCATTTTCTTTTCATTAACTATATCAAGGGTATACGCTTTGAATGTAGTTTTAAGTATATCTGCAAGCAAATTGGAGTTTATTCATAAAACGAAAAAAGAAAGCAAGAAATCTTTTTATCTTGTTTCAGCGTTCTCCAGCTATTTGCTTCTGCTTCACTCTGTATAATGAATGTCGGTTTTTTTTTCTTTATTCTATGGTAATTGGTGGGCAAATAATATTCTCTGTAGAAATTTATTTTCACTGATCTATCGATACAGGTGGCAAGATGAAAAATATCAAATCAGTGATTTATTTACTCATTTTCGTGAGATTGTCGGTAGCATATTGTAATGAACATGAACAAGAAGAGTTCAATAGATCTTTGAACAAGCGTAGTTGTGTTGCTCTTGGTGATATATGCAATACTGGTACCGATTGTTGTGGTTGGGATGCACTGAATTGGGGCCATTGTGTTATGTGTTCACGCGGTCTTTTCGGAATTCATCGTCGTTGTGGTTGTGATGTGACTGGCTCTGTTACTGTTGATAGTAACAATCGTGTTAGTAGTGACCGTTGTGATGGACGGAAGAGTAAGAGCGATCGTTGTCGCACTCGTGTTGCTCCACCTGGCCATCGTTATTATCGTGGTAAATCAGTCGTATAAACATCAACTAGGTTAATTATGTGATAATATTGTTTCAATGATGTACAGCTGTGCTGGATCTCTTTAGAAAATATGGTATCAAAACAAAATCCAAATCTAACACCTGAAACAAAACATTGATATTCATATGAGAAAATATTCGTTCATTCTAATAAAGTATATTTACTCAAAACATTCTCTACTTATCATTGCCACCGCTCGAATAGTTCGAAGGTACGAAGTATATGCGCAGTGTGGCATGATATATTAAAAGAGACCTTTTTTTTCAGGGAGTATGTAATAATTAGTATATGATATTCTACGTTATAATTCCACAAGGTCATTATTATTTTTCTTCCTTCTTGGCACTGGATTAAATTAATCAATTTAAAACAGATCAATCTATATCTTTTTAAATAATATATAAATTAATCTGCTACTCTCAACTTTTGCTTTTCAGCAATCGATTATGTCAAAATAAAATCTTTTTAAAATTATATTTTTGATAATGTGCTTGAATTAAATTCAATAACAAAATAATGCAGATTTAATTTAACGCCGACGCGTTTCGTATTATTTATTAAAATATTGAAACACTCTTCAGGGCTCTGTATTACAAAAAAGTGAAATTATGAATGAAAATAAAGACAATTGATAAATCAAAATAAAGAAAAATTAAAATGAAAAAGATTTTTAAGAAAAGTTAAAAATGAAAAATTTAGAGGGCAAAATTTAAAGAGAAATTTTAATGAAAAATTTAAATGAAAAAGAGTTAAATTTATATGAATCTTTGAGCTTGTATAATAAATTGATAATGGATATGTATATAATTTAATATAATTTACTAATATCATTATATATATATATTGTATATAATAATTTTTTCGAACATTTAATTTGATTTTTTTATAAATTTGATATGATATTGATTAATTGTATAACGACCTGTCCACGTAACGGTACACCTTAGTGGGCGAAGTTGACCTACTCAATTACTCGAAACCAATACGACCGATGTGTAGAGCGATGTCGATAACATATGGAAATACATTTTTTATTTACATTGTTATCATATTTCTTAGAGAAGATTGCGCCACGAAAGAGGCATGTCTTAGAAGTAAGAAAAGTCAATATTTATGACGGCTTTATATTTAAGGAATTTTTATGTAAATAAATATAGCTTTTCGAAAACTTATCACAGTAACTAACAATGCTTTCGATACTATACATAATAGTAACAAAATGATTACATTTCATCACTTCCTCAAAACTTATTTACATCTGTGAAGGTAATACATTGGTGAAGGTGATTCCGTCACGAAAATAGCTTTCAATTCATTTTTAGTCAGGAATACGAAGTTTTTCATTCTAAAAAGCGGTGCTCTAAATATAGTTTTTTGCGCTCTATTCAACCAGTAGATTGCCTATTTTTATAAACATTTCGGTTGATCGAGAGGGTCGTGACGGAATCACCCTCAAACGATTAGGTTTTCTTCACAATATTTGGAAACATTAACTTTCTCTGAAGTTGTGAGGTGTGGGTGTGGATGTAGATGGAGTGTGCCTGTGGTTGTGGTGTGGTTGGATACAGGGCTCAAAACCACACCCCACACTCCACACTCACACCCACACCCTTCATATATTTATCCCCATAATCGTATATTGGTACTCAGCACATTATATTGGTGGCACAATGTATAACGCTTTGCTTTAAAGATGTAGCTATTCGCTTATACATCTATATTTCTCTCTTTTATATTGTAAGCTCTTCCGAGTGTTACATCTACTAGCATAATAAAAAAAAAAAAAAGTAGAAAATTTGTTATAAACGTTAGATAAAGTGCTCAATAGTTTGAGATAGATAAGTTGGATAGTACCAACGTATGAAACATTGGAATGAATATTTCGAGGGTGATGGATAAACCTAGCATTGGGTTTTTGAACCCAGCAAGAAAATCGTACTTCGGAACTCTTTCTTTTAGAACTAAAAAAGTAAATATGTACGAAACCGTCGTCAAGTTTCGTACGATATCTTTATTTTTTTTTCAGTGTAATATTCGCCAAAAAAACATACCATTTATATAGATCATCTCTAAGGCGAATCAACACTTAAACTGAAATAGAATGACTTGGGGTTCGTTCGCGCTCATTTGAGACGTCACTCATGACTAGTCACTCCATTATTAGAACACACCTGAGCAAAAGCTATTTGCTTCCTTTTAATCGTCAAAAATGAGACTTATTTTTATATATTTGTTTATATTACCTTCTTCCAGTTATAGTTGCAAGAAATTTCACTACCAATCAAATCGCATTGACTTAAATCTAAATTTGAATATTGTTCCCAGAAACACATTATTCTCACTTGACAAAACTAATCGATATTGTGTCATGCAATAAATATCCTCTTGTTTGACCATCTTCGAATTATGTTACATCATTGACTCAGATAATAACTGAAGTGTATGATGTAACTAATTGAAAGTCGTTCTGATGCGATATGATCTTAGCTATCACTTCTTTTAATGTATTCTCTTTGCTCCTTTTCTCTAACTCATTTTACCGTTCCATTTTTCTCATTCTCTCTTCTGTAAATAAGCTCGTGTTTTGTGTGAATTAGTTACATTTGGTTGTAGTGCACAGTCGAATTAACATCAAGCACACAATGGAATCAAAGGTATTACACGCCTCTTCATTTGTTTTCAACGAAAAATAATTTATTTTATTTTATTTATCGTTACACTGACAAAATCTATGAAAAAAATATTTGATCGAGAAACAGAATATATTGAAAAAGTTCAACAAGCACGGCAAATGATGATAAATGCAAGAGAAAATAGTTAACGACTCTATTTCGAGAGATGATCAAGATAATCGATGATCGAGTGGCCGATCGAATGGCGGCACACGATGAATCTTGATGGTATCTTAATGGAACGAGAAACTTGACTCTGATGTTGACTTATAAAATAAATGCAGGTGATAGAATACGAGAATGCTGCATTAAATAATCATGGTGAATGACAATTGAGTATGAGTCAGGGTTGCCACTTCATGAAACCTGAAAAACCAAAGTGTGGGAATGAGTATCGATGTGAAAACAGTGTCCTCTGAGAGAAGATCTATACGCTGACCTCATTTCTTATTCTTTCAAAAGTATAAATTGTGGTTTTCACATGGTTATTTTCATGATTTTTGTCAGATTCAATTATTATCTCGATAGTGCACTTACTCACAAAAAAAACAATTTTAGATTTCCAGATTTACCATTTTTCTGTTTAAAAAAAGCACGCAAAATAAATAGATAAACAGAATTTACTATCAATTGCTTATGAGTGTTACCAGGTCAATCAGAAAGAATAATAGAACCTTTCACACGTCAGTAAGAGGATTTATTTAATAAAAACAGGTTTTCTTCTATATCACATTCGACATATGAAAAAAAAAACATTTATTTCAAAAAGTGGAAGACATAATAACCCTGGTATAGGAATGAACGTTTCTTTAAGGAAGAGCGATTGCACTTTCCAACAACACCCATACTCTGAATCAGATCAGTTTCGGTCTTTTCTATCATGTGCAGAAAATTGTTCGAAATAATATTACTGAGGTATATCACAAATCGACGGGTTTTTCTCCAAAATTTTTGAATATTATAAGAATTGAGGTATTTGAAATATTCACTTCACATATTCCTCTTGTGCACAACCATAAATTTTTGTATGCGTTGTAAAAGTAGCTTTAATTGTATAATAAAATATATAGATGATTCGTCCTTCTGCCTACAACTAGATTTTTATTTAATGACGAATAATACGTGGTTAATTACTATTTGTTTGAAAAATTTCCTAGAGAAAGAACAATTAGGTTACAATCATTATGAAAATGAGTGACTCGTAGTACTAGAATGGAACGTTGTACAGCAATCAATACAATATCAGAAGAATTGGATCCTTTCAGAAAAGAAAAACTAAAAAAAGATAAATCATTTGTAACGTTTATCATATCTAGTGTTTCTTGTTGTCTTCTTAGATGTTAAGAAGATTTGTGTTCAATCACTGTCGATCGATTATATTCTTCTAAGGGTTTCAAATTTTAAATATTATCTCTTTAATTCAGTCAAAAATTTTCATATGATTTAAATGAAGCTAACTTCTATAGATATAAAAATAATAAATTATTCTCGATATATTTTATATTATTTTCAACCAATAAATTCACCTATACTAGTTTACTATATCAATAATTTATCGTAGAATTTCATCACAATATTCATCGAAAAAAAAGAAACACACAATAATGAATTCAATGATGAATGATCCTAATTATTGAGATTTTATTTAAGAATATTAAAGATTTGATTTAATCGGTGAAAAATTTAATTGATAATTTTGTCTAAAATTTTCAACAGCTGGTGAAAGTTTAGGTGATTGAATTGATCCAAAATAAAGATCATCAACTAAGATTTGTGGTGTAAGAGAACGTGGAAGAAAAGCAATTCGAATTAATAATGAAAAAGCAGGTTGAAGATTTTTATTCATAATCATTGATTGTTCGAAATAAAATGCTTTATCATCCCATCCATTAATACGTGTTACTATTTGAAATTTTTCACCTAATTTAATGCTTTGACGATATTGAACTTGTAATGCACTAACAAGAATAGTTGCATTTTTCATATCTTTTTCTCGACGTTGAATAAATGCATTCCATAAACCTGTTTCCATGAAAAATGAATAACGACCAAAATCACATTCACGTAAATATCTTGAATTATTCATATGAAAATTTAAATCAAGATCATTTGGCCAACATCGACCTTTAACTATGGATTCTGACAATATATTTTTATAATTTTTATTTCCTTTATATCGCCAAAGTAATCTCATTACACGTAGAGCATATCCTATATCAAACATTTTGCTTTTTTTTCCAAATTTTTCTGTATATCTTGTTTCATCTATCATAGTCTACCCGCAAATAGCGATGAATCATCAATTCATTATCAAATCACAAGCGTTACTGTGTTTTGATTGGTCAGCTCGTATCGATGATTTCTCCGAATAGACATTTATTTTGAAAAAACTAAAAGCACATTTAGATAGAGAAAACTTTTCTGTATCGACCAGTATAAATCAAAACTTCGGCCCATTAAATTGTTTTTGGGAAAAGTTCGCTTTAAATGATTTGTATTTTGATTGGTCAGTTTCTATCGACCATTTCGCGGTATAGACATTTTTCCTGAAAAAAATAAAAGTACAGTTTAATAGAGAAAAATTTTCTGTATCGACTAGCATAGATCAAAAGTTCGGCCTATTTTGTTTTTTTTAACACACGTTGAACATAGCGCCTTTGATATTGATTCATGTAAATGTACATCTTTTTCCTGTTCTGCCTGCATACTATCAATTCGTATAGAAAATATTTTATTGATGATTAACAATCACCAATAGATTAAGAGGAGGTCGCATGTTTAGCATATCAAAAAGAGAGACATTAAAATTAGTGATATCTATCAGAGAGATGATTTTTTTTTATTGCTGAAAGGAACCATCAATAAAGAACGTCCGATACAATTTTTTTTCAAGACAACAATATAAAGTCCTAGAAGAAGATTTGTTGACTCGTTGTCCTTCCAATCATCATCTTTTACTTTTTTTTATAAGAATCTTTAAAGATACTCTTTAATCAAATTCATACAGTAAAAGACGCTTCACTATTGTAGAAAAAAAAATTATTTATGTTTTTTGTCACTATGAAGTTCTAATCTTTCTTGGAACTCAATATTCCATTATAGTTTTATATCCTCCTTCTGTATACAGAATGCTAATCTGGAAATTTACACGGTTTTTTTAAAGATGGTTTTCCCTAAGAAACGAAATTTCCAAAATTTTTTTAAAGTTCGCACTTGTTCCAGAAATTCGGTGTTGCAAATGGAGTTGCTTGATCAACTCAATCAAAAGAGAGTCCAGAGATTTTCACAAAAACAGCGAAACTTAAAAATCCCAAGTGTTGAAAAAAACAGTAATCTTTCATTGAGTCTTGCGCTGTTTTTCTCTCGAGTGGCCGTCTATTCATAGCGAGAAAAGGAGGAATTAACCATTGAAAATGTGAACTGATTTTGAACAGCAACAAAAGGACTTTTTGTTGGAAAAAAAGGTTATGGTGATAAATCTAATGGGTATGATTCTATGAATTTACAGAAGTTGCGACACGTTTCAATAAATTTTCTCATGAAAAGTCAAATCTCTATACAGAAACTAAGAAAAATATTTAGAAAAAAAAACTCAAAATTGTTTCCGAACCTCCCTCCCCTGTTCAGTGTACCAATAATAAGAGCACGTCTCATTTTCATCTTTTATGCGCTTAATTGTATTAGGTCAACCGGTCACTGTTCTTCTAGACACTGTGACCTGATTGCTCGATTGTATCTATTGTTTACACTGTTCCCTATTGATAATATCTCTCTCCTATATAAGGTCGTATTCTATGTAAAATGGTTAGAACTGGAATGATGAAGTAGTGTAGTAAACATCATATACCGAGGATATCGGTAACGCTACTCCTCCAATTTCTCAATGTTGATCAACAATAAAATAACGGATGATGAAAAAATTCTTGAAAAAATATCAGACTCTGTTGTATTTGAACAGAAGATGATAGGAAAATAATTCTTTTTTTTATTGGATAGAGCATGGTTTCTGGTTTTAACTGATATGACATACAGACTTATATTTACAGACCAGGAAGAAAATCGATTCGATTTTTCTAGAACTCCTAAAAAGTTGTCTGTAAAACTTTTTACCAAAAAACAAATAGTATATCTCAGCAAAGATAGATGCTCATGAGCTAAAATTACTTCTAATTCGTATGATTGCTTAGCGACTATTTGCACAAAAAAAATCAGCTCAAACGGTTTTTCCTTTAGAGATATGCTTTCTTCAAATTACGAAATTTTGTGCAACATTAAGGTTTATTGTTTCAAGACTCTAATAATGTTAGAGCAAATAGTTTAATGAAGGTTGTTTTTACATATATTTGTAGTCGTGGAAAAGCTCAATCTCTATCATAGTCGATTGTATTCGTATTACTTGTGAAAAAAGAATATCTAGAATGATAAGATTCTTAAAGGATTGATGCACATGAATTTTCAAAAAAAAAAGTGAAAATTAGTTTTTTTCATTATAAATAAATGATAATAATAAACCTTAGCAGGCAAAAGCTAATACCAATTTGTATATAATCTGCAAAAGTCAGTCCAAAATGTTACATTGAAGCCAAGATATAAAATTTCTTGTGAAAAAAAAAACAAACAAATTTACAGTATGTTTTTTAGATAATTCAAATAGGTATTCTTCCTAGGGTGTGGGTATAGGTGTGGGTGCGGGTGTGAATGTTATCTCCGATCGACACTCATACCCACCCACACACCCACACCCAAAATTAAAACGAATATTTTCGTTAATATTGTCGTCAATAAAAAAGAACAGAAACTATTCAATTTGATAAGCAAACAGTATTATCTATGAGAAATGAGATATTATTTAACATTATTTCATATGTCAAAATTTGTATAAAAGTAGATCTATAATAACCTCATTTACTCATTTGAAATTCCTTCATATCTTCTCTCTATACTGTCATTTTTGTGCAAATTACTTATATTTTTGAAGAAAATAATGGCGAGTGAAAATATAAATTGTAGATGTTAAGCACTAGAACACTCGAGAACAACTTCAAATCAAAAATATGATGTGATCTATGAAAACGTCGTCTAGAAAATCATATAAACTATTTCTTGATTTGAGATTGGTGACAAAATCGGATGGTCATTCTTTTTCAACAATTATCAAAAGCAAAGCTCAATAATATTTATTTAACAAAAAAACATTGAAAAACGATATATTATTAAAATAGTTCGATATTGACTTGCTATATTAAATTCAATTGCAAAAAAAAAAGAAATTTGTTTGATGGAAGCAGTACCTTTGAATTGACGCATTACTATTGATGAATCAGCTTCAATTGGCAGTTCAACAAAAATTTCTCGTTTTGATGGAATAGTAATCCACTGACTTGTTCACGAAGTTTTTCTCCATTAATTGACAATCGATAAACAGTTTCAAGTGAAGAAAATATATCTTCAGGTTATAGTACATCTTTGTCTTTTTATGAATCATCTTCATACTTTATTGTGCCATTGAATAAATTTACTCGTTTGTTACGATCTATTGTCATTTGTTCAAGACCCCAAATACCATCATTATTTTGACAAACAAATTTTCCTTTGATTTGTTCTCCTATTATACAATACATAAGACATTTCACAATATTATTCTCGATGGGGTAGGTATGAGTGTTGATTGAGAGAACACGAATATGCCTTTTTTTTATCGCAAAAATATAACTAAAAATAAAATTATCAAAATCTAATTTTATAAATTTGAAAAATATAATGCTTATAAAATTCATCTAAATTTTTGTATAGCATTACGATTTATTATAACATTGAATTATGAGAGTCTGAGTGTGTTTCTCTTTAACAAGATAACATTCGAAATTATTAGTAAAATAAAATGTGTTAAATATTAAAAAAAACTAAAAAATTTACGTTCGTTGCAAAACGAAACAAGTCTATAGAATATTTATTGACGTGACAAAGCATGTTTTTTAACGTATTCCAGTGCTTTCCGATTAAATTCAGGTCGATTGTCTTTGTATTCACGACCAAGTTCTAAAAATCAGAAAAAAAATTACAAATAAAATGAAGGTTTAAAAAACGAACCAACGCTCTCTGAATAATCAATATTTGGCTGATCGATATGTTTAACAACAGCTGTAACAACTTCAATTAAAGTGGATGTACTTTTCCATTGACCAGTTTTTTTTAATATTTCGATACAAAATTTACCTAAAAGCAATATGGATGAAAATCACATCTTATTTTTTTTTCAAATATTTTCCACCGTCTTTTTCAACATTTGGATGATAAATTGGAGTAAGGAAACGTACTTCAGGTGGATCAAATGGATAATTGTCTGTTAATTTCATTTCAATTTTAAATGCACCTTCTCGATATATTTCTGAATCTGGGAAAATTCGTCCAATAATAAGGATTTCTTTTTCGCTCGAAGATGCAGTAGCTGCTGCTGCTTCATCATCTTCATCAACAAATGGTGACTGCTCAAGTACAAATTTTGGAGTTGAACTAGTTGCATTCAAGGATTTTAGTCGACATATTTGATTATATAGTATCTTATTTAATTTTGTCGCAGCCATTTATTATTTTTTTCAATCTAAAAGACTCGAATTTTTAATAGACAAAGTGCAAAATTTGATGTGCAACTTGTCGATAAATTGACTTTTTACTTACCTTGTAACTCTTATGTAAAAATGCGAGAGGAAAAAGTCGACTACTTACAATTACTACAATAATGTTTTTATGTAGACTGCGTTCTTTTTCGTTCTTGACAGAGGTAGATAAAGAAAAAAACAACCAAACAATATCAAAGGAAAAAAAAACGTCTACTTTTGATTTCGGCGAAAACTTGTATGTTGATTACTTACAAAATAAAATCATTGATCGGTATCATTCTAGCGCATGAAGAAGAAAAACTTTTGTAAACACGCACATTCTTATTGAGAACAGTAATGCATTTCAAATGGTTGCAATAAAAAAAAAACCTAAACTATTAAATTAAGTTATTTACGATCTACGTCTTTTTAATACTATGTAGAAAAATAACTGTAGATGACATATGTCACTACTTTATGCATTCCTATTTTCATTCGAATAGTTTAGCACAAAAAGTTTATTTGCATTACGAGGAAAAATATTGAAGAGCAGTATTTCTTTTTGATTTCAACACATCATATTCTACAAAAACATGATTATAGAAAAAAAAATCTTTATTGTGTAGAATTTCAAGAATATTGCGTAATTATTTTTTTTTTTGATAAAATTAGATTTTTCACAATATCATGCTGCCTCGAAATATTTATCTTATGTACACATATCGGAGTCAAATGTGAAGCAAACTGTTTGTATACACAGATAGAATACATCTTTGAGTCAAACCTAATATGCACATATGTCAAGCTGACCGCTACATGGAACTCGATCACATTTTATTTTCTACAAAACAATACTTACAAACTATCTGTATAATTCCATTTCTAACTAACATACGATTTCACAAGATAATGGCGCGTGTCGGTGTGGCTCAGCTTGAGCGGATGCATCCAAAAAACATCATCACACCCACATCTATACCCATCCTTAAATGGTTCATATTTAAGTTTTACAATTAATATATCATTATAATTTTTTAAAGCCTGTTCATAATCACGCATTCATTGATATGTTATTCCAATAAATTCATATAAATCAATACGATATGAAAGATATGTTGAATAATGTTCATGAATTACTTTCGATGCTTCAAAATGGTAAGTTAAAGAGTATGCGTGTGGATGTGAAGTATGAGTCTTGTCTCAGGCCACCCACATCCATCTTTATTGTTTATTTGGAAAACAGATCGAATTATATTTTATAGAAAGCGTTCTTTGAAAGTTTTTCAATAATAATTCTCTCGTGTGATAAAATACATTTGAATGACGATGATGAAAAATAATTTTCGATTTGAAATGATAGTAAATAAAACAAGAATGACTAAATCTCGATTGAATTATCTTGACGTCACCAAAATTACAGTACTCGTCAATCAATCTCCAATAAACATGAAAATGATCGAATAATAATATTAAAAAGTTGCTATTTGTTTCGAATTTTAATATGAACCATTCATTGAGTCTATCTTGAGCTTGAAATCAATGATCGATCAACACTCATGATCTACGATAGACATATAGCTCAGTGTATCCTAAGATAAAATTCTAGAGTGAGTTCAATTGAGAGAGATATTACAGTATCATTTATTTTTGTCTCATTCACTAAACATTAATCAACAAACCAATAAGTCAATTCAGTGATATTTTATAGTTTAATTCATGAATAGTCTTGTGATAATCTTGTGTATCATATCAATGCAGAAGATTAGAATTTTTGTCAGGTTGGAATCGAATCGAATGGTCGAAGTCGAAAACTAACTTAGCTAATTTGAATTATCGAAGATCTCTCTCTGTTGTCTCAAATGGATATTGAATGTGACATTATTTATTTTCAATAAGAGATAATTGCGTTTGAAAACGAACAAGAAATAAATTTCTTTTTTTCTTATTTTCAGTGAGAAAAAAATATCGCTATCAATTATCAAAAAAGTGGTCACGATTCATGAGATGAATTGGCTCATTAAAAACAGGATCCAATCATTGAAAATAATATAGTGTAGAGGCTTTCGATTGTCTTAGCCTAGTCTCAAGATAAGTAAATGAATTTTTAGTGTTTTCAGCTCATAAACAATTTATTTCTTATTGATCATAAAGAACAAGACAGCGCATTTCAATGCTTATTTGTTCGATATCTATTGGAGGTTCATGCTCATTGACAAAAGCTGTATGAGCCCCATATTGGGCACTATCAGGATTGCTATCGAAGTTCTTGAAGACAAACATTTCGTTCGATCGCATCTGGCTTAGATAGTACCATCTTTGAGCATCTTGAGCGTTGTGCGAGATCACGTAGATTGAGACGGTACTTGGGGATCCTCGAATCTTTGACAAATGAATATCGTTGCCAATGTCTAATGATTGATAGTCGCAAATGGTCAAAGGAGTGTTTATTATGGGATTGGGACCCACTGGTCGCCAAACATTGATAATTTGGAAGCGTTTGTGCATCACTTTTTTGACTTCGTCTGTACCAAGTATTTGTTCCAATTTGGAGCGAGCTGCAGGTGGATCATAATCTGCATGCGGATAGAAAACAGGATTCTTATGGTTCTGGTCGCATCGATCAGCAGCACGTGGGGTCGCTCGAAAGCGGAATATGTGATCGAAGACAATTACATGAGATGCGCCAAGACGGTTTTTGAGCAGAGCAGCAATATCTTCATAGTACCGTCGTTGCATCTCGCTACCGTCGTCAAACTCATCGTGTATATTACCATCATATTTGAGTATTTCAAACCCATTAGTATCGAGATTAACAGTATTCTCTTTGCCTCGCAAATCGTGAATAGTTGTGGGAGTCGGTATACGTGCGAAATTTGACGCTGCCCAACCTAACGTAGGAGTTGCATCGAGCCATGGAGAAGAACCGTCAATCGTGTGACTAAAAAAATAGATATCTCCAGTAATATCGCTGTTCATTGCTAACTCAGAACAACTTGCAAAAGTAGAATAAGTGCGTGCCTCAAACAATACAATTAAAGAACAATGGCTTTTTTCTTTTACTTCTTCTTATCTTATCTAAGGCGAAATATTGTTAAGGGTCAACTGAAGAACAGGTACCCAAGGTTATTGCATATCGCTTTTTTTTGCTTTGTAACTCGCTCTTTTACTAAATTACTGGCGGACACCGTTAGCATGAAAGATAAGAGGAGAAAATTAAAAGAAAGTGGGGCATCAACCTGTGCGAATAGCAGCACTCGAAACTGGTAAACAAGCGTTTTTTAGGGTATGGACGTGGGTGTGTATATAAGTATAGGCGAGTGTAGATGTGAGGGGAATAGACATGTGCGGGACCAGTCCCGGTCCCGGTCCCGGTCCCGGTCCCGGCCACCGGGACCGGGACCAAAAAATAGAATTTTACCGGGACCGGGACCGGGACCGGGACCAAAAAATAGAATTTTACTGGGACCGGGACCAGGATCGAAAAACAATTTAGTCCCGGTCATGTTTGCCGTTGATAAGAAACATCGGCGGAAATACAAGTGAGAACTGCTCCAGATCTAAAACCGGCAGATTCCGCAACAACTTCTCTGACTATGGACAAATAACAGAAAAAGTAAGGTTACTTAGACTGGGTGTAGAACAAAAACCAAATTTAACACATTCGACGCGATTCGGTTTTATTAAAGAGTAGCTCTAGAGATTCATTTTCGTCTGCATTCATCTTGCGATAAATGCACTGCTTGGTCTTTTCATCCTATGCTGATCTGTCGTTTTCTCTTTTCCATTTGTAATATCACATGTAGCGAAGTAACCATTCTGTAGTTTGGCGAAACCCCTGTGAGGTCATTTCAGCATGACATGCCATTCGAGAAGTTGAATCAGCAACCCAATTCAAGCGCGAATTCACTAATCGCAAGCTCGAAGAAAAGGAAGGATTTAAGGGCAATGTCCGCAGACGCTGTACTGGCTGCTTTGCGAAAGGAAGGGCACAACAGTCAAGAGAAGCGAGCTATGCGGTAGCAAAGAAAGTAAAAACGTTCTGTTGTGAGTAACAATTTTTTTTGTCTTGATTTTTTTAACAAGACCCATCATGCTATGGAATAACGGACACAAAAAGAGTTCTGAAGGCAGAACAGATAAAGCTTTATGTTCAACCTCCTGTCTAAGAACAAAGAAAAATAAAGTACTTTTCTATACAGTTTCTCGTTAAAATGTAGCGTGGCTCACTGTTAGGTCACATCGTAGCGAATGTGTTAACTGAGCCCAGGACTAAAAAACAGAATTTCACCGGAATCAGCAGCAAAAGGAAAATTTCCACCGGGACCAAAGGAAATTTTCCACCGGGACCGGGACCGGGACCAAATGAAAATTTTCACCGGGACCCAAACCGGGACCAAAAAAAATTTACCGGGACCGGGACCGGACCGGGACCAAAAATTTAATTTCACCGGGACCGCGACCGGGACCGGGACCAAAAAAAGTTGGTCCCGCACATGTCTAGAGGGGAACTATCTTTTTTACCCATGTCCACATCCACACTCTACTTTTACAGCTCATTACCAGTGCAGAGAACAGATTTCATAGACAATGTTGTCGTTCTATTGTTTATAGAATGTTATTGTCCTGAATTTGTTTATTCCGCTTATCCCTCAAATAGTGTGTTGAAACAAGAATATGCACAAATATGCCATAAAAATATATCCCACCAACATCTCGCTCTACCATCGAGCAATTCGAAACATAGACTGATGACTTTATAGCTGTTATTATTAATCCTATAACAATACATTAAAATATTTTCATTGAATTGTCAAGTCCTTTTTGTAAATCATACTTTCTGTGTTTTGCATCATTGAATTTGTTTACTATGATTAATCCTCAGTAATTGTTTCACTTCTTTCACAAAATTCCGACGATTTTAATTACTCATACGATATTGGATGAATTTTCAATTGATAAAGCATTAATAGAATTAGTTGAACGAA